ACTCCTTGAATTACAAACCCGATACGAGAGCACCTACTCGTCTTGAAAGAAGCAAATGTACTTCTCTTTCTCAAATTCTTTTCGAAAAACTGCCTGCCTCCTCCTTGAACCGTTTTTTATTGCCACTTGTTTTCAAGTTTCGATCTACCTGCATATAACCCATAAAGTCCCAAAGAGAAAGTTAGCAGATATAATCGCAGCCCTTCTAAATGTATATTTTGCAAAAAGGAGCAGACAACAGTTACATAGTTTTAAATTATTTTTTCTAGGAAATCTGAACAAACCTTTAAAACCTATCACAGAGTATTAAAGATAAATAAGAAAAAATCCGGAATTTACGAAATGATCTGTGAAGATTGTGAACTTAAATATGTTGGGCAAACAAAACGGTCTTATCTTAACAAAATAAGGCGAACGTATTCAGATTAAACAATATCTCTAAAATAAACCATCCTATGTTTAAAATGAACCAATGAAATCTCTTATAAGAGATCTTCATGCCTGAGAAGGTGTCCTACTAACCTATCTCTCCTATTTCATATTGACTTCCATAGAGCTCTCTGCTCTCCTAGTTTTTCTCTTACCTCTTTATTTCTAACCTTCTCTATCCACGGTATCCTCACCATTCGCCTGTAACACCACATTTCGAACGCTTCTAAGCATTCCTTTTCCGCCGGGCCGACTGTCCATGTTTCATACCCGTACAGCGCCGTGCTCAAAACATACACCTTCAACAACCTTTTTCGAATTTTTAAATTAACTGTTCGCGAGCATAGAAGTGACTTCTTTTTATTGAAGACGACTCGACCCTGCGCTATCCTCTACTTTATATCCCTACTACTCTCCGTCCTGACTTATCTGACTTCCTAGATACCTAAAATCGGCCACTTCTTCTGATTTTTCGTTTCCTATCTTGATATTCGCTCTTTCCCTACTATTTCTTCCCTTGAATACCACTATTTTAGTTTTACTTTTATTTATTTTCATACAGTACTGTTTTGTCAATACCGCTTCCATTTTATTTAAAGCTATCTCTAGGTACTCTTTGCTAGATGCTAATACTGCTGTATCATCTGCAAATCTAAGCATACTAATCTTTTGCCCTTGCACATCTATCCCTACAGTTGTACTGTCTTTAATGATGTTGATGGCGTCTTCGATGTATAGATTAAAAAGTAGCGGTGACAGTGTGCATCCCTGCCTGACTCCCTTCCTAATATTTACTTCTCTACGTTGCATCCCCAGCTCTATAACTGCCTGTTGCTCTTTATACAAACTAAGTATCACTCTTCTATCTTT